AACACATGACAGACAACAACAAGGAACAAAATCCCAAACCCACACCGTGACACTATCAAAGAGCACACCCAGGTTCCTAACTGACAACGAAGACGTCAGGGCGTGAAGAAATATAGAGCTGCGTATCATCAGCATAACAGTGAAAACTAATGCCATGCTTATAACTTAAAGATGAATTGAACTGAAATTTGTAAAACGGTGACATAACAGATCTATTTTATTTATTATCATTGGTACAATTATTAAAATGGCAGAATTTGTCAAAAGGGATAAAACTGTACGTTGAAAATGTTGTTTTTGTTACACGGGCGCCGCCATGTTGGATTTCAACATTCGGCTACGTCACTGGCATGGTAGGCTACTCCGTTGCCAACCAACACCAGCAGAGCAACCATAGCATGTAAATAGTCTGAGGCTAGCTGACATGGCTGGGGAAACAGAAACCAACAGGTCTAGGGGGGGTTCATACTGTATTGCCCCTGGCTGTAGTAATGAATTGTATAGGGCTAAGGCAGCTGGGGTTATGATACATTTTCACAGGCTACCTTTGACAAGGAAACCAGCCCTCAAGTCAAGGCTAACGTTAGCTTCCTTAAAACTGTCTAGCCCTCCGACAGCCCCTGGATTTCGAGTCTGTAGTGAGCATTTTTTAGTGACAGACTATTTAGTAGGCCTGTCGCGATAGTCAATAAATAAATTAATCGCACAACAAAAAAAATTAGCTCGATAATTTTTCCGGCCGAGAAATTTCTATTTGCATGCTTGTTTGTTTTCCTCGTCTCTCTCTCTCTCTCTCTCTAGCAAAGAGACTGGATGACAACTCTCGATTCCTTAGCGTAGGAAGAGTGAACTAGAGCTTATTCTGCCCGAGCGATATTTCCCGACACTATATCCTTGAGACGTGCACTCCCAACGCAAGAGTGCTGCGCGTAGGGGTGTAACAATACATCGATATGGATCGATGTATCGATCAAACGTCTAACGATACGATGCATCGATACCACACATAAAATATCGATGTACGGTACCTTTATTTTGACACACTCCACATCCTCACGTAACTTTTCTCCGCTGAAATAGACGCCTGACAAGATTGACTGAACCCTTTGTCACAAAAGCCGGTATTTTCCACTGTCATCGCGAGTTCATGTTTTACAGTAGAAACAACAAGCCCCGAAAAGTCTGTTTTAGCAAATCAGTGCGCAGTATTCAGGTCAGGTGACAAGGCTGCTTGTCACTTTGAAAATACGCGCTAGCTGAGAGGAGTTTCGTCAAGCTGACTAAAAGTGATCGAGGATGGATTTCAGCGAACTTGATGAACCCGTGATATCTTCTTCGGGGCGTAAAAGTAAAATAAAAGCTGAAACTTTGTCACAGAATCTTGCTAAAACAGCACGTTTAGTGGTGAGTGAACAGCTCTCTGTATTTTGTGTACGTTAATCACAACAACAAAGTTTGACAGGCGTCTATATCAGCTGAGGAGATTAGCGTTACAAAGATTAACCAAGTGTTTTATTATGTATCATAGCAAATACTTGGCTTTGTTTAACTCTGAAACATGAAATGTGGAGTTATCTGCTTTTGCCACACAATATATATATATATATATATATATATATATATATACATCCTTTCAATGAACTTTAATATAACAGAAGAGTTCATTTGCAAAAACAGATAACTGCGTTCTTGTTCATTTTCATATAGGCTATCATGTTTTTTTTAAACTTGTAAATGTCCCAATTGGGAGAGGGTGTGCAATTTTCAAAGAGTTTAATTAAACATTCATGTTATATACACTCACCGGCCACTTTATTAGGTACACCTGTCCAACTGCTCGTTAACACTTAATTTCTAAGCAGCCAATCACATGGCGGCAACTCAGTGCATGTAGACATGGTCAAGACAATCTCCTGCAGTTCAAACCGAGCATCAGTATGGGGAAGAAAGGTGATTTGAGTGACTTTGAACGTGGCATGATTGTTGGTGCCAGAAGGGCTGGTCTGAGTATTTCAGAAACTGCTAATCTACTGGGATTTTCACGCACAACCATCTCTAGGGTTAACAGAGAATGGTCCGAAAAAGAAAAAACATCCAGTGAGCGGCAGTTCTGTGGGCGGAAATGCCTTGTTGATGCCAGAGGTCAGAGGAGAATGGCCAGACTGGTTCGAGCTGATAGAAGGGCAACAGTGACTGAAATAACCACTCGTTACAACCGAGGTATGCAGCAAAGCATTTGTGAAGCCACAACACGCACAACCTTGAGGCGGATGGGCTACAACAGCAGAAGACTCCACCGGGTACCACTCATCTCCACTACAAATAGGAAAAAGAGGCTACAATTTGCAAGAGCTCACCAAAATTGAACAGTTGAAGACTGGAAAAATGTTGCCTGGTCTGATGAGTCTCGATTTCTGTTGAGACATTCAGATGTTAGAGTCAGAATTTGGCGTAAACAGAATGAGAACATGGAACCATCATGCCTTGTTACCACTGTGCAGGCTGGTGGTGGTGGTGTAATGGTGTGGGGGATGTTTTCCTGGCACACTTTAGGCCCCTTAGTGCCAATTGGGCATCGTTTAAATGCCACGGCCTACCTGAGCATTGTTTCTGAACATGTCCATCCCTTTATGGCCACCATGTACCATGTCACAAAGCTCTCATTTCAAATTGGTTTCTTGAACATGACAATGAGTTCACTGTACTAAAATGGCCTCCACAGTCACCAGATCTCAACCCAATAGAGCATCTTTGGGATGTGGTGGAACGGGAGATTCGCATCATGGATGTGCAGCCGACAAATCTGCGGCAACTGTGTGATGCCATCATGTCAATATGGACCAAACTCCCTGAGGAATGCTTCCAGCACCTTGTTGAATCTATGCCACGAAGAATTGAGGCAGTTCTGAAGGCAAAAGGGGGTCCAACCCGTTACTAGCATGGGGTACCTAATAAAGTGGCCGGTGAGTGTATATTTGGATGTATTGCGAGTTAATAAACGTAACCGGTTATGTACACTTAGCACATAATATCTAAATATCGATTAATCGATCGATATAGCCCTGAATCGAATCGTAATCGAACCGTAGAATTTTTTGAGGTATCGGCAAATATCGTATCGCTGGCTGAGAGAATCGATATCGTATCGTGATTAACTGTCTGATTTACACCCCTAATGATCAGCGACTTCGTAATGAGATGACCAGCTCTCTTTGATGTGTCTGTTGTTTGTAACTGGTGTTTACTAGAATATGATGTGTTGTAAATAAATCCAAACAACCAAAAAGCCATTCTTTTTTAAAGCTCTCCTCATTTTTTGTGCAAGGTTCCTCATAATGACAGGGCCTGATAGCACCTGATAGGGCCATTATGGGATGGTCTTTGTCTTTCTCAGGTGTGAAACACATCAATATTCATGATGATTCACGCCTCCTTGCATAGAGCTTTCTCACACAAAACATGTCTTACAAATTTTAAATCAATATATTGTTTTATCTGAACGAGTACACATGATGATTTTCACATAGTTTTGAAGCAAATATTCTAGGCTACATGATACAATTTTCAATAGTCTTATGCATAAATAATAGGGGCGTCACGATTCTCCAAATCTTCGATTCGATTGAATTTTCGATTCTAAGGTCACGGTTCGATTCTCGATTTTTACATTTTTATTTTTTTTTAAAGCACAGGTTGCTATGCCATTTTTAAAATATACTTTTATGCAATATAATATCTGACGTTTGTTCGCAATGTACCACACTACATTGTCAAATTTAAAACATTTATTAACAACAAAGTGCTTATAATATAATACCTTATATCTTTAGTCAATTGGAAACTTAAGCAAAATAACCTGCCCATACGCAGATTATAAAATCAAATCAGTCATTTTAAACTGTCTGCGAAATGCAATTTCACAAACAGTGCGAGTGTTCAGCGGTGCCGCGTTTCTCTCTCTCAGTCTCTCAAAATGGGTTGCACAAGGCAATTGTCAAGCGCGCTGCTCGGGAGTCGTGACATGACGGAATTGTCACTTGCATAATCGGGCCAGCATTGCATCGTGAGTAACTAAAGTTTACCATTTGCACATCTTTAAGTCTTACCAGTTTGAACATTCAAGCGATTTTAAACTATTCAGTACTCGCGCGCTCTCTGAGAGATGGTTTTCTTTGCACACATACATAAAGCCGCCTCGACGGCAGATGACGACATTCAAGTTCACAAAACAAACAAACAGTTGTTGATTTAACAGATAAATCTATGTTTTTGTGGAGATGCCCTGCCATGTAAGGCGTGCTGTCAGTGGAAGAATATGGTACACGCACATAGCAGAGCTTGCAAACTGTAGCTTTTTTGAAGCGCGAACGTTGAACGCGAACGTTGACAACATAACTCACTGGAAATCCAAAATACTTCCACAACGGTGACTTCAATGAAAGAGTAGACGGTTCAAGTTCTGTCGATGGGTCTCCTGGATCTGCAGTTGCCATGCTATCTTTTGACTGGCTGTAGCTAAGTTAGAGGAGGTTTATGGAGTCAAAATAGGGCCATATATATCTGCAAAATAAAAGAATTTTTCGCAAAAAAAAAAAAAAGTTGTGCAAAAAAAAAAAAAGTTGTGCAAATAAAAATAGAGTATTGAGAAAAAAATGCTTTTTTGCGAGTAAAAAAAATTATTGCAAAAGAAAAGTTAACCACTGGGGGGAAAAATAAAGTTTAGCAAAGTAAAACTTCAGCAGCATTGACTTTGCAACACATATTTCCCTTTGCGCCGCTCCTTTAAATCCGCGTTTCAGTCATCCGTGCCTCTGCGGCGCACGCTTTCCTTTGCGCTTCCTTTTTCTTTGCGCCTCGCTTTGTGTCCCTGATTTGACGTGGGGGCGGGGTCAAGAGGTTGGGGGGTGGGGTCAAGAGGTTGGGGTGTGTACAAGGGACGAAGGCGCGTCCCTCTCGTTTACGTCATCAGCGCGAGCCCCAGACCGAGTGGATCGATCGAAATGGCGGAGCAGAGACATGCGGGTGATGGATCACAGGTATGTATTATTGATAGCTTTTTTATTATTATTATTAGACTCATATATTATTAATAACAGATACTTCAGACCGGCCAGAGGGGAATTTTTATGTGTGGAGAGCTTTCACTGAACATCATACTCTCATTTTTTGATGGAGATGGGCCTGTAGAGGCTTTTTGCATTTGAAATCTTTAAATGTAATCCGCAAAAAAAGGCACAATATAGTATGGGTGGTGGAAATAGCATTCAAACATACGTTACTGCATCCGCCATGTTCTGTTGTCATGTGACCCGTAACGTTATGTTCTTTGACCTGAGACGTTAAGAGTAACTGCAACCTTTACCTAGGCGTTATCACAAATAAGGCTGTCACGATTAACAGACATTATATTGTACATGATTTATTTATGAACAGCTTGTGGGTGAAATAGGTAAAATACTGTTGCACCCGAAAGCTAGAGGTCGCTCTCGTGCGAAAACTCAAAATAAGCGCAGTAGAGGAAGACAATAACACACATAACTAGTTATAGGAAATGCATATGAACATCATTTTATCAATATTCTTAAAACCTTCTCAGGTATTTTCATGATAATAAAGTATATTAACAATAATGATGATGTTCGACTGGTGTTGCTTTTTCAAATGCACGTTATAAGTGACTCAAACTCGAACTGCTTTTACATAGAGCAGCATTTCCTACTGATCAGAATCGTGAAAACAGTCAAATAAGAAACAATCGTGCACAAAACACACACAGATGCATGCACAGAACTCAACACGCACACACCAGCCAAACTCCTAAGGGTGTTTTAACTTTAGCTGACTCGCATATCAATTTGTAAATCATTTTTAATACATTTAATCAAATAAATTCTTATCTTTAGGTACATGGACCTAATGATGCCACAAGTCACCAGTTGGGAAGGATGATCATGGAAAGACTGCTATCCAAACTGCAGGATACAATGAGTCGCCTACCCCTAGATTTAGATTATTTGCAGTTTTTATGCGGTCATGAGCTTCTCTTCATTTCATCAGTCTATGATCAAATTTCAGTCCCAGAGGAACTCCTTGGCGAACTGTCAACCTTGAAAAACATAGTGGATAGGCATATTGACAATAACAATGAACCTATTACTGCCCTTGAAGTGGAATTTGGAGTTAGGGGGCCCCCAAAGTTTATCATCTCCAGAGAACATCTTCAGTACCTAGTTAATATGCAGCTATCTGTTACATGTATTGCCGAGCTTCTTGGTGTGTCAACAAGGACAATCAAACGTCGCCTCACTGAGTATGGCATTTCTCTAAAGGACACCTACAGTAAAATCACAGATGAAGAACTTGACATCCTAGTGAGATCAATCAAAGCTAAAAGTCCACACCTAGGCCATAGAATGGTGAAGGGACACTTACAAGCCTTGGGTCATCGTGTGCCATGGACAAGAGTTTGGGATTCCATGCATCGAGTGGACTCTGCTGGAATACTAGCAAGAATTACACAATTGAGATGTGTAGTCAGAAGGACTTATTCCGTCAAGGGCCCTCTTCATCTTGTTCACGTAGACACAAACCATAAGCTGATAAGGTATGTCATGCGTGTCAAGCCATTGATGTAATGCTACTGATAAAAGTATATGTGACCCTTTCTGTGAAAATATCACACATTGTGATCAGATTACATTATGTGAAGTCATTATTTGTGAGTTTCTGTGTTTTCTAATTCTATTTAAATTCTTTTAAAATGTATGAAGGAATATAAGTAATGGCCAAGATTTTTTTGATATTTGATATTTTTAATCCTTAAAAATGACTTTTATTATGCATGTGAGTTTCTCTACAGTTTACATACGCATTTCAACTGGTAATAACAGATTATCTTTTATTAGATATGGCCTTGTGATATTCGGTGCCATTGATGGGTACTCCAGAAAGGTATTTTTCTCTTTAATGCATTGTTGGTCTATAAATTTTGTACAAATCAAATTCCTGATGGAATGCATAAGTCTAACTTTACTTTATGTCTCTCAGATCATGTACCTTGGAGCTGCAACTGATAACAAGGCATCCACTGGCCTCGGTTTTTTCCTTCAGTCGGTGGAGAGACATGGATTTCCATTGAGGTAAGACAACTTACATCATTAGTGTGTATGAATGCTTTGCTCCAGTAATGATTGCTTCTTTTGTGAACGTCACTTTGGATAAAAGCGTAAGCTAAATGTAAATGAATCCCTGCTTGTTTAAACACTGTTAGGTTTCTTTTCTAAAATACCTTGTCATATTTAATTTTTTGCATTTAGAGTTCGAGGAGACCAAGGCGTTGAGAATGTAGAGATTGCCAGATGTATGTTTTCTGTGCGAGGTTGTGGCAGGGGAAGCTACATCTCAGGAAAAAGCGTGCATAACCAGCGGTAAGCAGCAATATAAACTAAAAAAAAAAAAGTTCGTCGAGACAAACTTTAAGTTGACTTGTGAAAGTTTGGACCAGAACGTTTAAAGTAGTTTATCGTTTAAAGTCGTTTATCGTTTAAAGTAGTTTATCGTTTAAAGTAGTTTATCGTTTAAAGTGTTGCGCCAAACTTTTGTCCGGAAAAATAATGAGAAGAATAACTAGAAAAATTGCATTTCTTGTGGAACATGCGTGTGAATGCTTGAAATGCAAAAAAGAAAGAGATTAGTTAGAAAGTTAGATCAGTTAGAAAGATAGATAAGTTAGAAAGAAAGATAGATAAAGTTAGAAAGAAAGAAATATTAGTTAGAAAGATAGGTTAGAAAGAAAGGTTAGAAAGAAAGAAAGATTAGGTAAAGAAAGATTAGGTAGAAAGAAAGAGAAAGAAAGAAGGATTAGTTAGAAAGAAAGGAGGATTAGTTAGAAAGATAGATTAGTTAGAAAGATAGATAAAGTTCATTAGTACAAATAGAATGGTAGTTTAATTGAGTCTAGGGCTTCAGGGAGTTTAGATTTGAGTTTTTGTGTTGTACACTACTGGGCCACCGTAGTCTTGGCTCAATTTGAACTTTTGCAATGAAAGTCAATGGGATTTTTATGATTTTTAATATTAATTTGTAAGAAATCTGAAAGTCAAATCAAAAAGATAAATAATAGCACACAAGTCCTTGAAAAGCTGAACATTTTGATAGTTTAATGGTTTTTGTAGCACAAAGTAGAGAGGAGTTGAAAGCGACCACGGAAGAATACGGAATAATAAAGATTTGGATTTCAACTAATAAGTATGCAAGAGAACACTAGTGTTGCCTTGCCTTTGGCAAGCACCACTAATAATAATACGTTTAAAGACAACATCAGTAAGTTGGCTCTCACAAGCCAACTTAATTAGTTAAAGCTTGATATGAATTTTAAAGTGTTCTGTTTCTAAGAATGATGATTTGTTAAACATTACTCACTGTTTTCTCTTCCATTTTTAGCATTGAGCGCCTTTGGCGTGACATATGGATGGCAGTTACAAACATCTATTATGATGTTTTGCACAGCCTTGAAGAGGAAGGATTTCTAGAGCCAACCAACAGCCTTCACCTCTTTTGTTGTCACTTTGTGTTTCTGCCTCGTCTCCAGGCCAGCCTCGACTCCTTTACCAGCGGGTGGAATAACCATCCTCTCCGCACAGAGCGTAATCGAAGCCCAGACCAGTTGTGGGAAATTGGACTCCTGCAAAACCCTGTCACTCCTCCTCCAGTCCTATCTGAGGTATTTTAAGAATTTGTCTTTTAAAGTATGTAATGTTTTCATGCAAGATATTGCCCCAATGTCCATAAACTATTACCAACTTTTAACAGATTGCACAAGGCGACGATTCTGACTGGGACACAGACAGTATCTCTGACCAGCCGTGGACAGGAATTGTAGTTCCTCCAGTCGAATGCCCCTTAACTGAAGAACTTAAGGCCCAAATTCAAACTTTTTTTAACCCAACCTCACACTCTCAAAACTATGGAAGAGACAAGTATTTAGAAGTTTTAAATTTTGTGCTGCTTCATTCTTAATTGACACTAAATCAATCATTGAAGTGACCAAATGATCCATTTAGAAGCAAATTAACATCCAATTCAATAAAAAACAAACTTAAGTTGACATTGCATGCTTGTTTTATTTTCTGGATTGGCTATATTTAAAGCAGAAAAACACTTGCATAACAACTTGTGTTCTCTTAACACATGCATTAAGATATTCAATTTTACAATATGTAACATGTTGTGTTCTCTACGCAAACACAATAAATTGCAAAACCATAAGAACATTTACCAATGTATAAAAGGTCTTTTTCCTGAACATGTACAATTCCATACATTAAGTACCATTTTAAATTCTGTTAAAACCGTCGTCAAACTGAATGGCTTGCAACATGACTGATTTAAAAGAACTGTAGTCACCCATGTGTACCGTGGGAAATGTAATTTTTCTGGCACAGGCACTTACAACTGGGAAGCATATTTTATGTTCTGGCATCCTCTGCATACACTCATGGTCAAAATGAAGAGAAATTTTGAATTCTTTGAGTTCTGACATTAGAAGAGGCTTGTGTCCCTGGCCAGTGAGCCATTGCATTACACGGGGGACAGTTAAGGGCAGGATGTCTCCATCAGGGTTATCCTCTACAAGCAAAAGAACTTGTTATCTCTAGGGTTGGTATTGTCTGAATTAGATCAATTACATTTTAACATTAATTTGTGTAATCTGCAGTTTTTTTAACAATATTTATACTAAATCAACTGTCAGTTCATACATACCACAGCTTTCAATTTCTTGGAGAAAGTCTTGCAGAAAGTTGATTATAGCCGTTTCATAAGTCTCTCGTACTGATCCCTTCTCCGACATTTTCGGAAGAATGTTCTGCATGATGAAGTCTGCATCAGCCTGTGGGAAAAAACAACCATTCATTTTCAGGTACATATACAAATATGCATTTGGCTTTTATCCAAAGCTACTTTATTACTATAATAACATTTGTTTTAAGTATGTGCAATCCCTGAGATCGAACCCAAGCCCTTGGGCTATGCTAGCACTGTTATCTAACCAATAAGCTACAGGAAACCATTACTGAGGTATTAAGAGCAATCCATTTTCTAGTGTTTGACAATTATTTTTTAACTTGGCAAATAATAATTTTCCTATATATAATATTCATAAAATCAAACCATTTCTAAAATGAAAAAGTTATATTTTCAGTTATTGATACCTTATCATCATCATCATCATCCACTTCATCAGGGACAAAGAACTGGCGGCACAGTCCGGAATGGTTTTCCAGGAGGTCCACAAAATTATAGACTTCAAGACCTTTTCGGATATGCTTCATCAAAGGGACCAAACGTAGAGTTGCATGCAGCACAATTGATCTGAAAAAAGAACCAGGAAATTCTTGCATAATATAGACAGTGTTGTGGCTAATCAGTATATCTGGTAGGCAGCAAAATTAAAACTGTTTGCAAGGTTTAAAATGTAAAGAAGTTATAAGACTTTTTCTGACCTTATTATGGCCTCTTTGTTCTCAGGTTTAATGGCCCCAGTAAAACCACAGTTAATTATTTGATCATTCCATGCAGAGAGATCAGTTTCTTCTTCCTCCACCTGAAAACACAAACACGTAAACTGTGACAAATGGTGTGCTTGCGTAGAAATAGCTTTTATGAAATCAGTTTTTTTTTGGAGAAAAAAATTGCTACCTTTTTAATCAAATTATAAAGTTCAGCATCATCCACATCATCTATAGTGAGAGTTGATTCATCCAAGTCTCCAGATGAGAGATAAGCAAAGCACCACGGCCTCAAGAAACGGGGGGCAGGCCCACCCTGAGCGAGACTAACACAAAACACTTCTCCAGCAGTCCTGAAAGAAAGAATACAAAGTAATATTTAGTTTTATGCAAAAATGACAACTGACATGTTACTACAATGTAAAATATTACTAACCTAAAAAATCCCTTCTCCAGATTACTTAGGGAGTAGATGGGGCTCTTCCCTCTCTGGTGTCCTCTATGCTCAAAGAGGTGTTTTTCAATCTCACCAATCAAATCTACAAACAAATATACAAATGCACATGTTAAAAAAGAATGTTATTTACTACATTGTACAATTATAAGCACATTAAAACATACCAAATCTCATAATGACACATGTGGTAACTGTTTATTTTTTTTCTAAACTTTAAATTGTTACGATGAATATAAAAACCTAATAAGGCAATTGTGAACCTGACTTGCCTGAAAGAAATTCCTTACGAATGGCACCTGTGTCAACACCTGCTTCCCCCAAAAATGTCACACGCAAAGTATTGCCCGGGGTTCCTCTCTTTTGTCTTTGCCACTGCACCATAGCTCTTTGATAGAAGTCATTTCGAGAAACACAGATCTTGAAATCTTTGCCGTCATCCACCCTACTTGCCAAACAACGCAATACATCATCTGGACTATAAAAACAGGAAAAAAGGATTAGTAAAGAATTCTGATGTCTCAGGGTTGTTAAAATGTAATAAATAGACTGTACCATTTCATGTCTGGGCCTTGGTTTTGCTGTACTGATGTGCCACACGGAGGACTGCTCTCATAATCCTGTGTCTGTAATATACTGAGTACATACCCAATGGTTAGATTGACTTCTTATAACATTTACAACATGTTATAACACTTATAATACTCAAAACATGTTTTTAATACATAACCTTATTAAATGTCTGTAAAAGAAATAACTTTTCATATCATTACAAATTACCCATCTCCACAAACACTTGCATGCATGGGCAACTCTGTCGTGAAAATGTGTCTAAACAAATGGGACACTGTCCCTCATCCTATAAATGGCAAAAGGACAACTGATTAAGTATTATACAATAAAATCCCAATTAAAACACAATTGGTTATTTCCAAACTCCAATCAAGTAATTTGTTTAATTTGTCACTTTAAATACTTTGGTCACCGAGTATTTTGCAAGATCTAAACAAGCACTCGCTGTTTCAGTTTTTTTTTACTTTACAAAAAACATTCTGATTCAGTTCTAAATGTTTAGTAAATTGTATTGACTTCTAACATTTGTGTAGTGTTTTAAAACTATGAAAATAGGGCATTTTTCTCAACCAGTGTTATTTACCTCTTGCAAAATGGTCTTTATGTACCAATGAGAGACAGTATAATTACAATCAATTAATCAAAAGTGCTTGACAATAAGGCACTACAAAGAAAATACCATTACCGTTAGTAATAAAATCTTAACATTAACTAATTAATTTTACTAACTGCACTGGTCCTTATGCACTTATATTAAAATGAAAAGCAAATGTATTCTCAAATATTTTGAATATTAAAAACACAGCATTTTCATTTAGCTCACCTCAAAACTTGTGGTGGGTGTAGGAGACCAAGTTTGTATTGAAGTGGTGGGTGTAGGTGTAGAAGCCGGGGCTGTAGGGGTAACTGCTCTGGTAATCTCACCAACTACTTTTACATCTTCATCATCATCATCTTCAGTAGTCTGAAATGACAAAACGAGATATATATTCTGCCGAAAAGAAAACTTAACTGAAAAATGTTATAATAAATTCTACTAAAAAATGTCATTGTGTAAACAACATACCTCATCATTAACTGACTGTGTGCAGCCACCACAAGATTTAACATGCAAGTACAAAACTGGTAGTGGCATTGTGGTTTTACAAGTACGACATTCAACCTTCGGCATCTTAGCAAACTCTTCTGCTGAGAATGGCAGTGGATCAAGACCCAACTCATCTTGAAGAGGGACCATATACAGTCCTGTTCTTCCCGTGGTGGTAGCCATTTTGAGAAGGCTTCCTGTATAACCCTCGGAGTCTGGAGGGACAACAGTAAGCTTTCTTCTTCCATTCCCACCTGACAATTTAAAAACACATTAACAAATCCAGCAATAAAAAGGTCTTTACTATATAATTGGGCTTTATACTGTAGCTAAAAACGATGTCAAAAAACAGTGCTTCCCATATTCTATTAACACTTCCCTGTGTACTATTATTAAAAAAGGATGTAGCCTGGGATTTAAGGTTAGAATGCCAGGGGAAATGTTCAATTAATAACTACCTATGGAAATTACTTGCACTGCAGTATACTCTACTCAGATATTCATGTTTGTGTCTGTTCTGGTTGACAGTACAGCATACCTGGTGCCTTATAAAGTAACCACCCTCCAGTAAGTGACTTCATCTTTGGAAATTCAGCTTCAAGGAGCTTGCATAACTGAAATAAACATGAAACAGAACAAGGGTTCTCAAACAACCATACAAAGTAAAAACTAAATCTTTATCACATTGAAAATTTTACGTGCATTTGTTTGTCATTTTTATACATACTAATTCACATTCACATTTTACTATGTTTAAGCAAATTATGTTCATTCAACTCTGCATGTTTTGAAAGTGGAATATTACTTTGAAGCAGTTAATTATATATTATTCGCAGGGTGATATATAAATAATCCTGCTCTAAAATCAGATGGCACAAACTAACAAATTAGATTGTACTATAAAATGAACTTACATCCGAATGGTTCACATTGGATGAAATTGTAATCACCCGTTTTCCTAGTCCGGCCTGGAGTAGTTCAAGCTCTTCAGAAGGTGTGGGTGAGGTGTCAGTGTTGCTGCTCATTAAATATATGGAAACAGCAAATGGTTTCCAAGGTGTGGCTTTCACATGTATTTGTGGATTTGGAGTTTTCTTCTTCGCTTTTTTAAACATCCCAGGAAAAGATCTACAAATAATAAAACAATGTTAATTATAATAGTAAACATTCAAAAGACAATTATTAAGATAATTAGATGTGGATGCGGCAACCTGGCCATATCCTGCTCTATTCGAGGCTGAGAAATAGCAGGAGGCTGCTGTCGTTGTTGTGGCTGCTGCTGCTGACCCTGAGCTGACTGAATCTGACCAAGGCTTTGGGTCAGAAGACCTATTAAATTCTGTGCAGCTGTACAGACATCTGAATATTCTCTCTGTTAAATATGTCATGACAACGTCATATAGGATTATCTGGATCAGGGGTTTTAAACTCAGTTCCTGGAGGGCCACAGCTCTGCACAGTTTAGCACAAACCCTAATCAAACACATCTGATTCAGCTAATCAAGATCTTCAGGATTACTAGAAACCTCCAAACAGGTGTGGGTTGGAGCTGGTTTGAGCTAAACTGTGCAGAGCTGTGGCCCTCCAGGAATTGAGTTTCACACAACTGATCTAGAATAAGTGCAGTAACAATGTATCATATAAACAACATCACAGCTTTTAAACATAGTCTATAGGGATGTGACCTACTGTATATAAATCAACTTGTTCGGAATCAGAAAGAGGTTTATTTCAAATTATGTTTGCACATACAAGGCATTTGTTTTGTATTATTTGTTTTCAATTTACAGTATATTTTGAGAGACACCTTTGGCATCGTTTATAGTCCATAATACAACTAGGGCGTGGATAATAATAATTATTATTTATTAATTATAAAACAACGTGAAAGGTATGCATATTGAGAGAAATGTACAGCCGCCGACGATTAGCTAATCGCCACATTAACCGCATTAATTGATCTCTAACTTACTTAACTTGAGCAAACGCGTTGATACACATAGTTACATATAGTTATCGGTCTATCTAGCGAACTTGAAGAAAGCTATCAATAATACATACCTGTGATCCATCACCCGCATGTCTCTGCTCCGCCATTTCGATCGATCCACTCGGTCTGGGGCTCGCGCTGATGACGTAAACGAGAGGGACGCGCCTTCGTCCCTTGTACACACCCCAACCTCTTGACCCCACCCCCCAACCTCTTGACCCCGCCCCCACGTCAAATCAGGGACACAAAGCGAGGCGCAAAGAAAAAGGAAGCGCAAAGGAAAGCGTGCGCCGCAGAGGCACGGATGACTGAAACGCGGATTTAAAGGAGCGGCGCAAAGGGAAATATGTGTTGCAAAGTCAATGCTGCTGAAGTTTTACTTTGCTAAACTTTATTTTTCCCCCCAGTGGTTAACTTTTCTTTTGCAATAATTTTTTTTACTCGCAAAAAAGCATTTTTTTTCTCAATACTCTATTTTTATTTGCAAAACTTTTTTTTTTTTTTGCAAATTTTTTTTTTTTTTTTTCCGAAACATTGTTTTATTTTGAAGATATATATGGCCCTATTTTGACTCCATAGAGGTTGACTCGCAGCACTTGTTGAAGGACGCGTGTTTTTTCCGTGACATGGGGGTGTGGCAGCATCGACGATTCCATTTTTTAATTCGACGTTCGAGATCGTGACTTAATTTCGAAATCGTGACACCCTTAATAAATAACCAGTATGGGTTTCATGACCTTATTTCAGTGACAATTTCTTTTTGTTTTTTCACAAACCACGCATAAACATATTATTGTAGCAGAGTTTGTGCTGAATAAAGTGTAATAAGACTTTTAGCCATGAAAATGTCACAAGTAATAGAAATAAGCACAAATGTCAGAGCATGTCAGAACACATCCAGGGCCCAGAAAACACGTCAGGCCCCAGAGGGTTAAGCCTCGAGAAATGAACCATTTTATGAACCACTTATGCTTTATGCTTATTGAGGCTTCATCTCGCCACCACTACTATCTCCAACTTGAACAATGAAAAGGGTAGCACACATAAGTACACGGTGGCAAGAGTAGGCACACACACAATGAACAGGCAAAACAAGAGGGAAAGATGACACATTATAAAGGGAGAGCTGAGAAGATGAGGAACAGGTGAGCACACTCAGACTAATGAGGACTCATCAACGACTACATTTTAATTTATGCAATTGGCAGACGCTTTTATCCAAAGCAACTTACATTGCATTTCAAGGTATACATTTACATTCTTATCAGTTCTTGCTTTCCCTGGGAATCGAACCCATGACCTTGGTGTTGCAAGCGCCAATGCTCTACTGTTTGAGCTGCAAGAAGGCTAAACTAAACAAGAGGGCGTGGTAATTGGTAACAAGGAGGCAGGAACAGAGGAGCACATGGCCAACACAAAAACCATTGTGTGGTTTGCATTATTTGCCTGCGTGTTCATTCAGTGTTTGGATTATTAATAAAGCCTGAGTTGTTTTTTAATCTCCTTCATCTTCGTGCCAGCTGCCCACGTGGTAACACTTATTTATACTGTAAATTAAATTTAGCAAATAATTTAAAAAGTTGCCACTCATAAATCACCGCAAGGGAAATTCTTTGAACACGACAGCCCTATTCTTCACTTACAAAAGCTCAGCGGTTAAATTTTTGCAGGTAAATAAGTATAGGTAATCACTAGCTGTGTTTACATGGACACTTATAATCGGATTGACGGCTTAATCGGACTAAAAAACCTTCATGTAAACACCTTAATCGATCCGATTGAGCTCGATCCGATTGAAATTTCGATCCGATTGAAAGGGGTGGTTTACTCCTTTTGTAATCCGATCAAGAGAACATGTAAACACTTGATCGGATTGAAAACCGAAACTAAAAGGACTGCGCATGTACAATGACGTTAAAATAGCGTAATGACGTATGACGCACGGAACGAGCTGTTCTTCCTGTTGAATAAAGTTAATATAAATGAGTGTTCCGTTATTAAAAAATTCTCATTTCACTCAGCGTCTGTGAAGTGAAGCAGGACAACGTCCCACCAGTGCTTGTTTCAGATTATCATCCATGGACGACTGGTTTTGGGCGCGGGGTTTTACTGCGTGATCAATATAAGCAGCGCGGCAAAACGGTTCATGCTAATCGTCTCCAAATCATGACCAGAGACGGATGAATATTAAGTCTGCTGTTTAAAAAAAATAAAGAACCAATAGAGGAGAATATTTATGTGCGATCAGCGGCATATTCGTGCAGTGTGCGCATGTCAAAAAATCAATTCCGATTTGAATCTTGTGACATATAAACGCGCACATCAACCCGATTACTTTATTTATCGTTCATGTAAACACAGTGTTCGGATTCATCAATCGGATTGATTTCATTCCGATTGAACCATGTAAACGCAGCTACTGGGAAACACTGCAGTTACTTTCTACCAATACAGCTGTGCAAAGTACGTAAGCAGGTAGTTTTTGTTTCCATTAATAGAAAAGCTACTTTCATGAACAATGGTATTACATAGTATACAAAAAGTATGTAATTTAGGTCTTAAGTTTTTCCAGGTTGAAAAGGACCGTAGCCAAACTTGTTTCATCATCAACATGCTTTTATTTTTTGCCCACAGGTATTTTATGTGTTCACTATTTGCTTAATTTTCTCCTTATCCACCTTATACAAACAACGACATCTGTATGGTGTTATCGTTTATATGTTTGAGAAATAGCCTAAACTTGTTCTCTGGAACTTAAATTTATCTACGGGTATAAATAAAGGAATCTGACCTGATTGGACTATGACGACGTCAGCTGTACTTAAGAGTAATTTTAGGTGAGAACAACTGCCCAAGAGTGTTTTTTCCAACTGGCTTGCCTGAAACCATGACCAAACTGGAGGATGGGGTAAGGAGTCAGTGTAAACTACAAGATCCGTTTCGACTGCAGTTCATGACTAGTTTATGAACTTGACTTCCATTAATAAAATAAAGAACAAACACACAATCAAAATAATACACATGACTGACTCCTTCACACCTCTGAATGTTACTCTGTCTGGCACATTGAAGAGTTCAATTTCTGCTCAAGGATATTCTGAACTTTCCTCATCCTGTTCTTCCAATACCATCATCCTATTCTCTCCAGAATCCACCACCACACGACCCTCTTGGCCTGATAACTTTAGCATTCCACATTTCTCATATGATGCAGAATTCAAACTTGAACATGCCAATAGTGTCTTTAGAGAAGGGATACTGCTTATCCCCGATATTAAACTAAAGTCTGACATACTTGAGGGATTAATCGTTCAATACAAACTCCGAAGAGAGTCCCAATGGAGAGAACGATCAGACTCTGGAGATTGCAAGAGTAGAGCTCCTTTCAGATGTTAAGAAATGAACAGAGAGACTATTAAAACTAAAATGCAGAGAACAGTTGCACTTAGAAGACATGAAGTTCTTCGTTGTGCTCCTATGATCAGCGACTTCGTAATGAGATGACCAGCTCTCTTTGATGTGTTTGTGGTTTGTGACTGGTGTTTACTAGAATATGTCTTGTAGTGAGGGATAACTTATTGGTGAAAATAATTTTGTGTTAACTTTCTACATTCAGTTGAATGCAGAGTTCAAACGAGAAACAACCATTCCTCTACAGTCAAAATTTCTATCACAGCTTGACCTTCAGTATGAACATTTCCTGAAGGTTTTTTAAAGGCGACCAGAGCAGCAAGGCAGAATGCTAAAATAGATTATATCAGCTGTAGTCCAAGTAAAATTGTGTTTATCTTATGCTGGGTTCAGGCTACGCAATATTTTTGTCTGTTACGATAGTCACTGTGTCAGCTAATGTGATTTTTGATTCCTAAATTCTTGTCGTGTCATGAACATGAAACATGTCAGACTACACATTTCTTCCTGACCAATTATCGCTTGCCTTAAAGAAGGATTATTATATATAAACATTTATAAATAAATACATAAATAGATGCTTACCAATAAAAATTATTAAATTTTTTACTTAAATTTAGAAATGTTTGTAGATAGGTTATTTATGTGTGGTTTCACTGCCAAAATATTTTAGCCAAAATCTGTACTGTATCTCCCTATTGTCACAGGTGTGTTACAGGTGTGGCAGAAGAAGATGAGGTCAAAAGTTCCAATTTCAAAAAAAAATTAGGTCAAGTCATAAACAAACACTGTTAAGTTGTTTTAAATTGATACTGTGAATCAGCTTTGACACAATCTGTATTGTAAAAAGCGCTATATAAATATATTTGACTTGACGTGAGAGAAGAGGATGATGGCAGGCAGGTGCGGGTAATTGTGAAGGAGGTGCAGGTGTGGGCCAAGGAGGATGCTGGGAAATGTAGTGAAGAGCTGGATGGTATCTGGTGACTGTGACACCTATATAAAGTTCATTAGCAATTTTTCATTCTACTTCCCTCTACGTTACAGCAGCTGAGTTACTGTTAAGCTGCAACCCCATTTTTGAAAAATCCCCAGATATGGCATACCCAAACTGAAACAGATACAGTTCATGAACCCTTTGTACTAAAAGCACAAGTAAGATCTCATTTGAAAGCTGACACCTGGAAGTTTATTGTAAATGTAGAATTAATTATTGTCATAATGAAAAAAAAAATAGTTATAAATAGCTTCAAAGTTTTGTAAAGTTATTATACATTTATTTTTATGAAACATCTTCATGAAAATAAAATTGAAGTTGGCATTGTAGCAATCTAGAAATGCACTGCAGCTAAAGCCACATGTCTGACCATGTTATATTTAAAATCTGAAGATGATAAGTCTAAAACTCTGTATTTAGTTCAATGTTTTTCAAGATCATGTCATATGACTTTATTTTGATTAGACTCTAAAATGCAAACTGGTGTTTATTGTCATCTTATAAGCATCTATTCAGTCTATTGCCTCTATTGTTTCTGGGTTGCTAAACGAGCCCCATTCAGTGTCAGTCTCCCCTGCACACAATCACACCTCTCCAGCCTGGTTATGGCTCTAAATATGCTTTTCTTTTGTCTGCATTATAATCACTAACGACTAGCAATTCACACTGTTTCAATCCCTCATTTCTTTTATAAAAGTTCTTTCA